TTCCTGAGGAGGAGCTGGAGAAAGTGTCTGGAGAGAGGGAAGTCTGGGCATCTTTGCTTAGACTGCTGCCCCCGTGACCCGGTTCCGGATAAGCGGAGGAAAATGGATGGATGGATGGATGGATGGATGGCCATTTGATGTAGTTCGCCTTGTGGTCCAACGGGACATTTTTGAAATTCACTATGAACTTGACCAGTTACACGTCGTGTTGACCCATCAAAGTTCAAAGTGTTTATTGTCATATGCACAGTTAGGAAATGTGTTTCCCTGTACAATGAAATTTTTACTTTGCTGTCCACATGAATGCCACAAAATTCAAATGAAATATAAAGTAGATAAAACAAAATCTAAGGCACTTTAAGCAGCGCAGATGCAGCAATATAGTAGAAAAAATATACAAGAATATAACAATGTATGCTGCATGGGAGCAGCATGTGCAGCAGTCAACATTGTGCAATTATGCATGTGGAAGCTGAGAATGTAAACGGTACATCACATATTTCCTGGTAATAAACTCCTCAGCTGTTTAGGAGTCTGATGGCAGAGGGAAAGAAAGAGTTTTTCATTCTAGTGGTCCTGCATTTCACACTTCTGAACCTCCGGCCAGAGGGCAAAGAAGTGAACAGTCCATGCTGGGGGTGGGTGGGATCTTTGAGGATGGAGGCAGACTTCCTACACACCCTGTGGTGGTAAATGCTCTGCAGAGAGGGCAGTGGAGTCCTAGTGATCTTCTCTGCATGATCTGTAAAGTAAGCTAGTAACAGGGCTCCAGACTAACACCTCATCCTGTTGGCACTGGTGCCACCAAGTCTCTCAGATGGTGGCACTGCCTCTGTTTTATAACGGAATGCAAAAGAATTAGTATTTTTCATAATTTTTTTTTTATTTATTAAACCTTTCCATCCAAAGTGCAAGAGAAGGAAACCTAGTGAACACGTGAAATGGGAAAATGACTTCTGGAACAAGTTTCCACCATTTTTATGGAGTCACTGTGTTGCTTTATAGCCTGAACGTCAACATAATGATATCGATGACACTGATAATAAAGACTATTATTGAAGTATAAACTGATGAATTGTGCACATGCTTTGCTGTTTGTGTACATGATTTATTTGCTCCCTGCAGATCCTGGATGAGCATCTTACTGCTGCTAATACATTTCACCACCCTGTTTGTCACGTCTCACGACCATCTCTTTCGCGATCAGTTTAAAACAATCTTTATAATATATGTTGTCTGTAAACCATTTACTGTGAAATGGAGTGTGTTACTTGTATTTTGGACTTAAGGGTTTTACCTGTAGTGTGCCTCTTTCCAGCTGTCGGTTAGTGTGACTCTGACCTGGACTTGGTTAGGTTGTCGTAACTTTCAGCCTCCTTCACCTTTTTTCTTGTCACATGAACCTCTTAATGTGTTTGTGTCTCCATGTTACTGCCTGTGTGTCCTGGCAGGGTTTAGTTGTACCTCTCTCATGATTTACTCAAACCACAAGTGACTGTGCAGGTGTGTGTCTGTGTTTGTGTACTGTAGTCTTACAGGCTTATCAGGCTTTTAAAACCTCTGGCTTTAAGATACAAGCTTTTATCCATTGGACTGACCTGAACACTTTGATATGCTGGAGAAAGAGACAGTTTGATGGATGAATAAATGTTCTTTTCTGGTTTTTCTTTCAGGCAACCAGACAAACTTGTGGTGGTTTGGACACGCAGGAGTCGGCGGAAATCATCCAAGGTTTGTATTTGATGAGCTGCATTCTGACACAAAATAAATAAACGGTAAACTAAGATAATTGTTTTCCTGTTTGTCCTTCTGTCTTGCAGTCCCACAGCTGGCAGCCTGGCATTAAAAATCCTTACAGAGGTGTGGTGGTGTGGCCTGTACCAGAGAACATTGAGATCACTGTCACGCTCTTTAAGGTGGGTACAGCTGTTTTCATTAGAGCAGACATAAGCATTGCTCTGTTTGAGGTCGACCACAGTTGTTTATGGAACATGAGGGGCTTTATGCCAGTGAATAGCAGTGATGCTAACCTAGAAAAATAATTGCAAAGTTTTGCCTACTCACCTCTTATCAGAGTTGGGAGATTTAACAAGATTTTGTAACTAGAACGTCCATTTACTTGTAGTAAAACAGTTTTGTCTGTGACACCCTTGTACAGATGGTGTCTGTCACCATGCTATATTATGTAAAGACAGACTAAGTCAGTCATTTATTTTACATATATCACTGTCAACTTGGACACTATGGCAGAAAGTGTGAAAGCCTGCAGCCTTTGAAAGATGTGAGCATTTATCCAGCAGCAAGCATCTAACATTTCCATTTTGGGAAGTGTGTGACTTTTCAGAGCTTGACCCATACTAGGACAAAAAATGTTATTGATATTGCAAAGCCTATAAAGATTTGACAGTTCTGTTTTAAACTGCTTTCTTAACTTTACGGAATAGCAGTACTAAGTTCCTGTAGTACCCTTTCAGCATAAAAATATTTCTTAATGCCTAATAACTTTAGATGTTATAGCATTGTATTGACTGAAGACTGAAACTAATGCAGGCAGAGTTTTAAAGATGCTCTACAGTGGAAACAGCTGGGCTCAGCAGTATTGCAGTCTGTACCTCAGCCAGACACCAGCAGGTAGGCTTAGCTGTACTTTGTAGATGGCAAGAAAATACAGATTTTAAGAAGTAACTTAACTGGGCCATGCACTGGCTGCTCATGTAAGCAGAATCAACCCTAACAGACAGTGTGCGGAAAGCAGAGGGACACTTAGCACCAGCCAGTCCTTAGTGAACACTGGCTTTGAAGCTTTACAACACATCTGCATTCTCCAAACAGTTCATGTTTAACAGCAGCAGTAAACACTGAAGACAACACCATAAACTCAGATGGCTGGTAAAGCCATGCTCTGCTGGCTTTTTGAAGCCTTTGTGAAATAATGAAGCATTTAAAATTTGGAAAGATGAGTCAGCAGTATGACTTGCCATGTGTGTCTGTGCCCTTGTGGGCGTTTTGTGTTTGACTGTTGTGCCAGACTGCAAGAATATTGATTTCCTGGGGTGTGACACAAGCACAGTCAAACAGAAAGACCTTCAGTGCATGTGTTTGCTTCTCTGGTCCTGCAACAACAGTTATACTCGGTATCAAGTTTATTGATTAATCGTTTTGTCTGTACAAAGCCAAAAAGAGAACAATATAAACAATCAGAAATGCCTAACACATTATATTACCAGAGCCTGAAGTGCTGTATTAAAATAGCACATTTTGATGGTAAATATCTGGTAACAAAGCAAATTCTAGGAGCTATATCTAGGAAATGTTTTGTGGTTTTGTTTGATAAATGACTTGATTAGGAGTAAACTTTAGCGTGTATTTGTGTATGCGCTGGTTTACCCATCCATTGGTTGTATGACCTGTGTGCATAAAAGGAGGGGGTGGATCAGGCTTGACTTACACTGACTTACACTCTGTGTCCTGCAGTGATTTGCGTTTGTGTATGTTTGCGTTTCTTTGTGTGCTCATGGAGGCCAGTGAAGGTCTCCTATGCTGTCTTGCTGCCTCCATTACCGTCTCCTCTCATCACTGGGAGGATGACAGGAAGATGTACAACTACAGTAGACTGACAAAAAAGACAGCAAGAGAACTATAATTTTGATTTTCTATGTTCTCAAGTCAGAATTTTTCTTTTCTGTTCAATTTAAAACTTTTCTGTGTTGCAAATTTCCTGGTTATTAGAAGATTTATAATAGAATCATTGGGTTGCTGATAATTCATGGTTCTATATGAAGTGTAGTTTTATGTGGTTGCAGTCTGCTCTGATTACACGGTATATTATGTACTTAAGCATTTCTTTGTTCATTGCCCTTGCAGGACCCCCATGCAGAGGAGTTTGAAGACAAAGAGTGGACTTTTGTCATTGAAAATGTGAGTACAAAGTTATGTCTTTTTAATTTTGTCCCCTCAGCCTTTGTTAGTGCATTGACGCACTCTCTTTCTTATTGTGTATATTAGTACGCTGATCTTTTGTGGTGCTTTATGAACCTTGTGGAAATATAAAGGTCCTGGACAATCAAGGGGACCTGGGCGATGACCGATGTCTGCAACTTATACTTAAAACAAGTCAAAGAAGTGTGTTCTCCAATCTCCTGTTTTTCCCGTGAATCCTGCTTGCATTACATGTGCAGGTTCTGCCACCATGTGGTCAGCTCATACTATTGCATGCTGCCTCTTCCCTCAGTCTGAATGCCAACCAACAGAGTTGATACACTGGCACAGACTGTGAGTGTGAATTTTTGTTTACTTGTTTATGGCAGTAACAGCTTTCATTTCAACAAGCAGTTGTAGAGTGTCAGTTACCACTTGTTGTGTCCACAAAGGTGTAGACTGACTTACAGCTTGTAAATTCAATATCACCAAGGGCTGGCAGTATTTATATGTACTCATGTATTTACTCAAGTGTTGACTAGTTTATTTGTCATTACCAGTGTTCGAACAACTGCTTTCCCCTAATGCAACAGTGAATTTCTTGCTCTTCTCATCATTTTTGTTATATTGATCACTTTGCTGATCAAGACAACAGATGCAGAGGAAAGAATGACCATCTGCAAAGCAATTGTATGCCTTACAGTACCAGAGTAAGCTAGGACTCATGTTGAATAACAGAAAACAGGGAAGGTCAGGAGAGAGAGGGAATAGCACAAAAGAGAAAGAGAAGTGGAGACTAGTTAAGCATGTGTCAGTCGTCTACCAGGGAACTGCTCACAAGTAATTTGCTGTGCTGCATATTTTTGCTGAACCCAGATCTGTGGCATGTGATGCCTTAGTGTTTAGTTAGAAGGCTTCTACAGAAACCGATGACTAATGCTTTCTGTGGCAGTGCAGTGATGTAGTCTCAAAGAAATGTTGTCTGTATGAAAATCTGTTAGTGTTCTCTGACACGGGTGGAAAACCTAAGATGATCTCAGTATCGTTCTACTAATGTGATTGTGATAACTGATAAAATGGTCTTTTGCTCTGTGAGGTCAGAGGTCAAGATTAGCCATCGAGTGGCGACTTTTGATCTGGTTGGAGCATTTCGTGGCTTGTTTGAGCGTTATGGGTGTGTTTTATTTTAAAGAAACTGTCACACCTTAACCTCTAGAGTCCTGAGCTTTGGAAACCCAAGCTGTGCGGTCCTCATATGAGGACGCAGGGACTCTAGAGGTTAATGCCAGCCTTCAGTTTCTGAGCAGTGCAAGCCTTTACATGTATGGCCAGGTGAAGAATTGCTTTCATATTTGGAAAAAAATGGATTCTGACTACTCTGACTTACTCTGACTTGAGTTTTTATGAAATTATAGTTGTTTTCTATAGGTAGATTTTTAGTAAAAGATGTACTGCATTTTAATGAAACATTAGCGTTCTCTTTTGTCAGAGGAATAGCTGACAGAGGAATAAATCTTTAAACTTTAGCAATGAAGCTACAGTTTTGAGAGTGACAAGAACAAGGAAATACATTTTTAACAAAGCTGATGCAAACTTTCCGTGACATGTAAACATTTAGACTGTCAAGCCAAAGAGCAGCATTATTAGTGTTAGAACTTTGAGAGTCCTCCGCCCTCTTCTTTTTTAAGAATGTTGGTAGAACAAAAGTGTAGGAGACCGGGATGAGTGGTTTGACATGTTACTTTCTGCGTGTGTCAAAGGAACAACAGCAGAAATAGCTCGACCTTAGACAAGTAGGTCAGCTAGTGTTTTCTGGTCAGAGCATGAGAGAGAGCACAAAGAGCATGAAAGGGAGGATAAAAAAATAATCCAGGTTTGTGGGTTTGCCGGTGTCTCTGCATACTTGACTAATGACAGACAGATCAAAGCTGCTCCAGTCTTCTGACCTTTTTTTTAGACAGACTTGCACGTCATAGCAACATGTGACAGACCAGTGGTGTGATGGTTTAAGGTTTGTTTTGCATTATTTAGAAAATAGTTTTAAGGGATTGCATGAGTACACATATGTATGGCTTGTGTTATGTATAAATAAGGTTTCCTTTTTAAACCATAAGATAGGTTTTATAAGTAATAAAGTCATTAGATTAATTATGCTTGTTTGGGTTATAATGTTTTTTAAACATTCACATTTAAAACCTGAATTTGTTCCTTTCAAACCTTGTAGATCTTGAAAGAGATAAATGAGTGTGAATGTTGTAATCTTGCGATTTAGGCTCACTGTCTGATTACAGTATTTGGGTGTTTGTCATTGTGTGCTAAATACCTTAAAGAATAATAACACTATAGTAAGCAGGAGAGAGTAGACTGGTTAATGGAATATAGCAGATTAAAACAGTCAGCTCTTTGATAGACTGGCAAACTGTGCAGGGTGTACCCCGCCTCTCGCCCAGTGTCAGCTGGGACTGGCTGCAGCCCTCTGCGATCCTCTTCAGCGTAACTGGTATAGATACTGGATGGAAACAGTAAGACACATTATTGTACTCCAAAACAGTGTTCCTTTATCCAAGTGGTCTAAATTATTCCAAATCCTGGGAGCCTTTTAATTTGAAAGCCTTCTAATTATATTTAAACTGTGATTTCTCACAAATTAACAGAGCAGATGAGCAGAAATTAAGGAATTATAAATTGACCACAAGAGGGCAGTCTAGCCTAAGTCTAGCCTGTAAAAACCCCAGGTATTCACTGCTTAATTCACTGGGTCACTCTTTTATGTCACCTGTGTGTGTCAGTAGGAAAGGTGTCTTTGTGTGGCTGCATGTGCCTGTATATTTGTGACCATCCATCCATCCATCCATTTTCCTCCACTTATCTGGGACCGGGTCGCGGGGGCAGCAGTTTAAGCAAAGATGCCCAGACTTCCCTCTCTCCAGACACTTCCTCCAGAGGCATTCCCAGGCCAGCCGAGAGACATAGTCCCTCCAGTCTGTCCTGGGTCTTCCCCGGGGCCTCCTCTCGGTGGGACATGCCCAGAACACCTCCCTAGGAAGGCGCCCAGGAGGCACCCGAAACAGATGCCCGAGCCACCTCAGCTGTCTCCTCTCGATGTGGAGGAGCAGCGGTTCTACTCTGAGCTCCTCCCGGGTGACTGAGCTCCTCACCCTATCTCTAAGGGTGACGATGTGTATGACAAAAGGTGTAACCATAAATGTTGGTATGTGTCTGGTCATATTTTCTTCTGACTTTCCGTGTGTGAACGAGTACAGAGATGACTCAGATCTCCCATGTTACACCCACCTTTCAGGTAACTGAGCTAATATGCAGTTATGGAAAGATGAATAAATGTGCTAGTGGGTGTTTCTCTGAGGAAGAGGAACAGAAAAAGAGGAGAGGTGAGTTCTCCTGACCCCTCATCAGACAGCAGAGGAGAAAGGGGAAGCATCTTAATCTGGGGGCCCAACCTTGCACTAGGCTAATCCCTCCCTGTCGAATCACTGGACCTGGATAAATTGTATTTTGTCATTGAAAATGGCAGTATCAGACACTACCCTTTTCTCTCCTCTATTTGTTCGTCTGCCAAGGCAAATCGTATAATCAAATGATGGAAGGAGAGAGAATGAACAAGAGAAAGCGAGGAAGAGGTGGCAGGCTGAAAATGGCTACACACTAGTATCTCTAAATTGCATGCTACCCTTGCCTTTCACCCTTTTTAAAATAGGCGCATATTATCAAAAAGGTGGGCAAATTGAGAGTCGAAAGATTGGATGGCTATATTTGAAGGTATTGTGCTGACAGGCTCTTTTGTGTGTATGTGTGTATTTTTCTCAGCGTTTGCATATCAACCAAAGCTGGAGATGGGAGACCAACTTCCCTCATCTTCAAAGCTTTGTGGGAGGATTTAAATAACACACACACGCACACACACAACTGTTGTATTTAAAGTGAGAAGCTATCATGTCTGAATACATTGGCTATACAGTGATACACACTCCAAAGCCCACTCTCCCTGCTCCTCCCCCATCTCTTCCTTCAAGTCGTATTTCACCTTTTTCACTCACATTACATCAATGTCACTCAAAAAAAAGGGAATTTCAACATTTATGGCTGCTCTGCCAAATCACCACTCACACTGTTTGACAGTCTATCTGCTGTCTGGTACCGCATTTTAAATATCGGTTTTGAAAAAGCCGCCTAAAATACTGATGCCCTGTAGCCATCTTTACACAGTGATTACATTAAGGGCAACTTAAAAGGTTTGTCACACACCCATTCAAAACCTGGAGGATACTGACCTTAGGGTGTTGGCTTACTTTTACTTGAATGTATTGGTTTGGCATTCAAAAGAATGGTGTCTGGACCAACGTTTGACTTATTTGGCGATGTACTATACATGTATTTAGAGGCCATGTTTTTCATGCTTTCTGTTTGCCTCCCCAGAGCTTTTTCACTTTCTCGTTCTCTCTTTAGTAATGTCCTGTCTATTGTGGACCGCCTCCAACTCCATTAAGGCTGTTTCCATGCCACATAGCTCCCACTTACACACACTCATACAGGCGCACTTTGCCGTACACTGAAACACAGTCATTTTACCATTTTACCATGCACACAGTGAGAACCTATGACACACATGCACAGAGGCTGCCTTACCTCCATCTCGCACTCCGTACAGATACACCCACTCTCTGTATTGTACCCATAGCCGTGGTGTGTATACTGCCCCCCTCCCCTCTCTCTGTCTGGAACACATTACGTAGGCCAGTGGCTTGTGAGCACCGACTGGGCCTCAGGGAAGAAAAACACAATTATTTCAGCCCTCGGCTATTCACGCAAAGGTGACAAAAGCTGGTATGAAGTATGAAATCCCAAAAGTTTCTCCCGTGCCGAGGCTGACAAATTGGGATTAATTTGTGCTCGTGTGCATGTGTGTCTCTCCAAAGTTTTCACCTTTGCTCATTTCTTATTCTTTAAAATAGTTTGAACTCAAAAGGCCTAATTTATTGTGT